CCCAGTTTTACCATTTTGCACATGTTTGTGCTGTGTGTTTGCTAAGCCTGTCTTTGTCCTAACTCTGGCACCCAGGAGGTCCAGCGGCTCTGCAGCTGCTCTGGACTCCAGCCTGCTGCTTTGGGCCTCACCACAGAGCTCAGCCAGTGCCAGCCTCTCCATCTCTTCCTCTGTCCTCACCTGCCTGCATGGGAGACATGCAGGCTGGGTGTCTCTCTCTGCCCCATCTGCCATCCTCCCCGGCAGGTGGAGAGAGAGTTGGGGCCGGGGTGTGAGACAAGAGTTTCTCTGCCCTGAGCATGTGGCTTGCAGGGTGGGGAACCCCTGCCATATTTCCCAGCCTTCTCCCTCCCCCCTGCCCCACGTACTAGGTGTGCAGAGTGTTGGGCCAGGGAAGCCTCTGGAGTCTCTGCGTTGTCAGAGTGGGCAGAAGGTGGGGGCTTGCCAGGTCTCTCTGCCCCATGCACATGGTATGCTGGCACGGGAGCCTTCTGCCAGCACCCCGCCCCCCAGCACATGGCGCTGGAGCAGGGTAGCCATTTGTCCAGATCCCATTTTTCCACAGAAACAGAATGGCACAGAACGGCCTTAACGTTGTTGAAACCACAAGATGTAACAACTGACATACAAGAGACTGAGACTTTAAATTAAGATGATTTTATTAATGATGATTCATGTACCATCCTAAACACAAGTTTTTTTTTTTTTAAATAAAATTTAAAATGTTAATGCTACTCGGGGGGCTTCAGATGACTGGTCTGTTGTGGAGGGGAACTCCTCATGGTGTAACCAGTGCTCTTGTGGTATATAATGCTCTCTCCACTCATTCAAAAGAAAACCCAAGCTGACCAAGAATGGGAAGCAGTAAAGAAAGTGTGTGTGTGTGTGTGTGTGTGTTGTGTGTGTGTGTGTGTGAAAGTCAGAAAAAGGTGTCAGGTCCCTTGGAGCTGGAGTTACAGGCATTTTCCCCACCCCTGCAGCTACTCTGGGATTTTGAGCTTCCGGTGACTGAGTTAGTCAAGCCTGACTTAGTCAAGCTTCAAACACCATGCTGTTCTGTCTGTTTTCCATTTTTTTTTTTTTTTGAGGCAGTGTCTCTTGTTGTCCAAGTTGGCCTCAAACTTTGAACTTCTGAGCACGTCCATATGCTACCACACCAAGTTTATGTGATGGTGGGAACTGAGCCAGGAACTGTGCACGCTGGGCCAGAACTACCAACAGAGTTACACTCCCAGCTCTCAAGAGCATGCTTGGTTCTTTTTCTTTTAGTTTATTATTTGTGTGTGTGTGTGTGTGTGTGTGTGTGTGTGCGTGTGTGAACGTGTGTGCACTTGTGACAGTGCCAAGGCCCACAGGGGCTGGGAGAGCATCAGATCCCGTGGATCTGGAGCTACAGGTGGTTGTGATCTGTCTACTGTGGGTGTTGGGAACTGAACTCGGGTCCTCTGCAAGAGCAGCATTCTCTCTGAACTGCCCAGCCACCTCTCTAGCCGGTGCCCCCACCTTCTTTGTGACAGAGTTTCATTCTGTAGCCCAGGCTGGCTTCAAAGCCTTGGCAGTCATCTTGTCTTAAACTCACGGCACTCTTCCTGCCTCAGTCTCCCAGTTTCGATGATACCTATTCAACTCTTCAGCAGAGATCGGGGACATGGGGTCAACAGAGACACAGAGCCA